CGCCGCCGCCGCCGCCCTGCAGCCGCCTCGCCCCGAAGACAGGGAAACGCGGTCTGGGCTCGCGGTCGAGCTGAACCTGTTGTCGCACCAGCGCCAGTGTGGGCAGGAAGCGAAGCGGCGCCTCGGCGAGAGCTCCGCCTGAACCAGAGCAGCGGCGCGGGGGCTGAACCCGGCTCGGGCCGGGCCCCTGGCCCTGGGTGACGGCTCGGACCCGGCTTTCCCGCCAGGCGCACACAGCCAACCGCAGAGCGCCCTGCCTTAAACCGCGGCTGACTCTGGAAAGGAAGAGGCCCCTGAGCCTCCACCAAGGCTGTTAAGTACCTTCAGGAATGTTATAGGAAGGGGTTTTATTAGACCACCTTTTCTTCTAAAATCCCCGGGACCTGGGAGCAAGGGGCTCGGCCCTCCCCGGTGTTTCCTACACTCTCCTCCCCAGGCCAGGGGAGACTTTATAAGAGTAAGGGATTTATAAGAGTAAGGGATGTTATAAGAAAAGTGATCAGATGCTATGGTGATGGACAGCAGTATCCGATCTTATAAATAGATGGAGTCGGCAGTCAGCACCCCTTGTTGTCAGTGAATAACTGTTATAGCAGGTAAGGCCAAAGCTTTCCATCAGACATCTTCTGTACAGATGCTGTGTCTTTGGAAAAAAAGAAAAGCTGGAAAGAAGAAAGGCAGCAGCAGGAACAGGAGCAGTGTGAGGAGCTATGCTTTATTAGGGCAGGGAGACAGGACCTCAGCAAATCTGGTGGTTTAGGTTCAGTTACAGGAAAGTCTGTAGAAGGAAAACATGGAAAATAGAGCCCAGCCAAACCAACAATCGGATGCATTGTCCCTGAAGGAGAAGAGCTCTTGAGTAGCACAGAAACAAAGTACTTAGAGATGGAGAGGATTTATTAGCTAATCCAAGTAAATGCAGCTCCCTAGGGCACATCTATTAGTAATTTATGTCTGTATGATGTTACTATCTGCAAAGCTTGGACTCCTACATAAGAAGACTTGCCAAGGTTGTGCTAATTATGAACATTTATATATGAACTCTGGCGAGTGCAAGCTGAATTGGTTCATTAAAAGAGTAATGATATTATGTGTGGGAAAGTCTTGCCAGTAGATGCATGGCTAGCCAAGCTTCTATGGTTTCTTGACAGGAAGAGGGTGAGGGTGTTACCAGCGTTATTTAACATCTGCTGTTTTCATTATTACTTTCCACATTTTTTTTTGCCACTGCAAAGGGTTGGTGTTAGGGGCTGTGAAAGCAGAATTCTAGTAACTGTGAGACAGATGCAGGTGGACAAAAGATCTTTTTTGCTCAGTGGAACGACCGAAAAGGGATTTTTCAGAATTTATCTCTAGCCCTGACCTCATTGCTTTTATTCATACTGATATGCTTAGTACTAACAGCAAATTAGGTGCAATCCCAGGGCATCATTTCTTGATAGTTTCTTCTGGAACCAAACACATAATCTGACTGATAATTTTTCTGGTAGCAGGTTCAAGATCATTTATTCAGCTGTTCAAGGTATAGAAGAAAGTGTCTGAAAGTCTGGGACTGTAATGAGGATTTCAGTGCCAGTGCTTTCCCATCACAAGTCCCAAGCATTTGGGTCTCACTGCAAGATTATTTTAAAATTGTAAGATTGTTAAAATAATGGGGTTTTTTAAAATTTTCCCTCTGGTTTGGGAGCATTAAGAGTCACCTTTAATTCTTCTTCATTGTCAACATCAGTTGTTTATATTCAATGTCTAAATAACCCCAATCACTGAGAATCCCATTGTGCTAGGTGCAGAAATAATCACAAGAAAAAGGTCTCCGACCCAAACAACTTTTATGTGCAGTTACTTAAAAAAAAAATGAAACCATGAGCTTCTCACCCGATCAACTGTCTTCCCAGACATGGGGCTGTATAGAAAACACCAAATATTGAGAGACTCGCAGTGCAATTGCAAGTCTTTGCTGTATTCCAAAGGGGAGAGCAGCTGAGAAAACAAAACCTTCTGATCCATTTGGTTACAGTCATTTAATATCAGATTTCTCCTGCAAAGTTAATCAACAAGAAATGACATTTTGCAGCAAAAAAATAACTATAGCAGGTGCTGTGATTCCTTTGTGATCAAGGTAAGAATCTGAGGTTTTCATGTAAAAGCTGCAAGCTGCTGATTTTTATTCATATCTGTGCCTCTACACAAGATGTTTACTGCAGGGTGGACTAACTAGCTCCACAGTAAGTGTCTCGGCATCTACATGTGCAGCTCTATTAGGCAGCAGGGTAGTCCTTATAAACACACAAATGCAAGTAAATACAAGTACTACCCTGCTGTGACGTTTTTCTGTGTGCAGCAGCACACATGTAGACGCTAACCTGCCTGACTGGAGCTCAAGGGTGCTTCAGTGCCGGGGCTGCTTGCCAGCTAGCCCTACATTGCATGGAGCATCCTCATGCCCCAGCCAGCCTCTCTGCATCACACTGAGCCCAGATGGAGCAGGCCCCGGCTGGCAGGCCAACCCCCGGGACCCTCTGCCATCCAGAGCTGCTCCAACTGGGCTCCACATGCTGCATATGAATACACTCTGGAGCAGGTTGCTCCGGAGTTAATTGCTCCCAGGTGCATGTTGAAACAGCACACCCAGGAGCAGAAAACTCCAGAGTTTGTGTGCACTAACTGCATATGTAAATACACCTTGTAAGAGCAGAGCCTGAATATCAGGTTGAAGGTACTTGCTACAGTGTCCATTAAGCTCCCCCTGCTGGGCAGTCCTCAGCCTGATGTATTTGGTGCTAACCTGCAAGATCAGAACTGGCTAAAGAGCATGATTTTCAGTTTGCAGGAAAATGTAGGGGTTTTGAACCTCAGTTCATGCCCAGATAAAATCCAAACCAACTCTTGCAGAAGTCCCTGTGACTTAGACCCTGCAGACGCTTCATTTTCCTGAGCAGGATCTGGACTTCCCCATAAGTCACACCATATAGACTTCTTCCTCATTCAGACCCTGGGAATCAATTCCAGGACACTCAGGCCACATCCTCATGAGTAGGAGCATGTGTTTTCCTGGGAACAAGTAGCAGCGGCACAATTTGTGCCGCTGCTACTTGTGTCCAGGGAATTCCTGTGTCATGTGCAGCAGATTACCCTGGGTGGGGCAGGGAAGACTGGGCCAAGCAATTGTGCTGGCCCCAGTAGCCTTACCTGGGGTCCTGGGGGCCTCAGGGAGCTGCAGCCACAGCGCTCTTGCAGCAGGGAGCCTGGCTGGCAGCCCGAGTGTGGCTCCAGCTGGCCAGGCTCTGGTTTTGGGTGGTGCGTGCTGCTACCATGTGCACCATCAACTTATTTTTGGCATGGGATTTTTTGACCCCAGGATCTCCCAGGGTCAAGGAAACTCCCCGTGCTGCAAAGTAGCAGCATGGAGAATGCCTGCATGTGTGGTGTGTGGCACCACAGATGGGCCTGCGGTGCCACATACCGCATATCCGTGCTCATCTGGACATGGCCTCAGGTTCCAAATTGCACTCCTATCCTGTTTTTTTCATCAGTTGTCCCAAGAATTTAGTTGTACCACTCAGCCCCACATAAGGTTATTAGTTAGCCACATGAGCTGGATCCAGTCCTTGGGCTATATGTTTGACACTCCTGATTTAAACCATATTCACACATCCCCTCAGAACCAGTGTGGGTACAGGGGCACAAACACATGCACAGGCATTCCTAAGGGCCCAACAAATTCACTCGCATGCACAGATACATGCACACATCATCGTATTTTTGTTCTGTGGCTGTACAGCACCTAGCACAATACATCTCTTCCATGACTCCTAGGGGCTACGGTAATGGTTTCATAGTTTCATAGTTTCTAGGGTCAGAAGAGATCTGAGTAGATCATCTAGTC